TGAGACTTCTTTGGAAATATATTTAGCTGTTTCTGTGATGGTTAGACAGCCTGTGTGGGTTGTTAATSTCTAAACAGCTTATAGCCTGTCAGGTTAATTACCTGCCACAATAGCTTGACAAGTATTTTATTTATTTATTTTTTTCATCTTGAGTGTGTTATCATGGCAAAACGTATTTCAAGAGACACCTTTAGCAGTAACYAGAAATCAAGGCTTGAGAATGTGTGCTGGCGGATGTTGTCAAGATGAAAGATCACAGCCCCACAAGCTAAAGAACGTTACATTGATTAGTTACGATTGTTGGAGTTTCGAACATCAATGTGGTCTGACCTATGAATGCAAAATTAAAGATGCAAGAAGTTATAAAGCTGAGGAAACTAATCATTTTTGTTCTTTATTTCCTTCACAAACATTACAGCTGCATGGCTGACGGCTGCAGTGCAAGTGATGTGGAACAAGTAGATGTAGTTCTTTTATTTAAAAAAAAAACTCCTTGACCATTTCCTTTTGTGTTACTGTGAAGCTCCAACTACGGTATGTATAGTTTTCAATGGCAAATAAAATGTGCATATTTTGCATGTGCAAAACACACAGCTCTACTGCTAGTCCAATAAACTGCATGTTTTTTTTAAATGTGGCGCCATTTAAAAGGGAAATTACAGGCTTTCTAATTGTAAAAGATATGTTGCCAAGAAGCATTGGGCCTCATGCAAGAACATGTTCGTATTCTTATCCTAAATTTCTCTTTCTTTTGTTTGTAGGAAGGGTTCCTACGAACATGTCACATCAGATTCAACAAACTCTTCTACCTTCAGGAAAAGTGTGTAAAATGAGGAGCGTAAACTGATGAATGTGTATCCAGGTGCTCGTGCACGGGGACAGGTGATTTGCATAATTACCACCCCAAAAAACACCATATAAGGCTRTGTTTCCTGCCACACATACCAGGAAGTGTCCATTCATAAATGACATCACAAAGTAAAAAAGAAGACCTGGTTCGGAGATTGAATGTCTGCTCTCGGAGAGCCACAAAAAAAGTATTTTTTAACAGCGTCAGCTGTGGAATTAAAGGATCTGCTTTAAAGGTGAGGAATGAAATGAGTGCTGTTAATGTCGTATCACCCGTGGGTCGTAGTCACAGAAATAAAAATCTAAATCATATTTATGTCTCTCTGTAGTCCTGCTCCGGTTTTTCTTTGGTCAAATATTTATAATTCAAGTGTAAACAACTGTGTTATATGTTCCACTTATTCAGAGGGGCAGTCGAGCACCGCAGCACCCCCACACCACCCCACACCCTGGCGCAAATGTTGGATGCATTTCTGGAGAAAAAGCATTTTAAAGTGTCTCAAAACTTCAGTTAACTTCATATTATTATTGTAGTGCTAAACAACAAAATTAAAAACCAATTTATTTTAATTTAACCAAATTTTGTCATTAATCTAAATTATTACATTTAAAAATCTAATTCCAATCCAAACAGAATAGCCTCTTGTCAACATAATTATAGGGTGTGATTTATTTTCAACTCAAAATATCTTGAAACTAATGAAATATAAAGTTATTAGTGAAGAAAATCAGTCTGGATAACAGCAGACTGACTGCTCGTAAAATATACGACAGGTCTGGACCACACATGAATTTTGTTCGTATCGGAAGAAAATCTTAGAATACGAAAACATTGGTGAATGCCACAAATTCTCCTAAATCACTCGTACGCACAACTTAAGAACAAATCTGTGCGTACGAACGNGCGTACGAACGGTTCTTGCATGAGGCCCAAAGTTACAACAAAAAAAATATACCTAACACATTTCTCTTTTTTTTTTTACTTTTTGTGCTAACTTTATAAATGTATACATTTTTTTCTCTCTCATTTTAGGGACTGACTACACTACTTAATGTTCAGTATGAATACTTATTACATCAATTATAATTTTTAACCTTTTTTTGCTATGTAAAATTTTTACATTATAACACAAATGGAAAATATCAAATTTGTGACATTAGATGGTAAGAATATTAACATATGTTAACATATCAAAATTCATAAAAAGAACCCTTTTAGCTTGGATATGCTCACTAAACAGTGTCATTCATTTTATTTTATTTTTCCAAAACCATTTTAGAGTTACCTCCTTGTTAACAAAATAACAGTATGATAATAACATCCAGCCTCAGTTGCGGACTGCATCAATCCTAAAGTTACTTGGTCGATTCTTTATTTCCAGCTCATTGCTTCGTTCCAAAAATAAAATGCTTCACCAGAGCATCCCGGACAGAGGCAGGTTCAGATATAAACACCAAACTAAACAAGCACGTCAGATAATTATTTAATCGGCTCGGATTGAACAACAACTTCAGATTCAACATGATAAAAGTAGCATCCATGCTAACTCTGTAAACAAGCAGCCGACTGAATGAGACATCGGCTTTTTCTGTGCATGCGGGTCTTATTAAAGTCGTGGAGCGTTCACATTGGAGTCTAATGCAGGTCACATTTAAAATGTAATGAGAACTTTCATGCCAAAAAGCAGATGTTTTTTCCAAAAATCAGAATTGCGCATTAAGACCTACAGCGTAGTATAGCCAATGATGTCTCATTGAACTTATTTTATTCCAACATTGGAAAGCCAGTTATTGTTTAATCTTCATTCTAATCTTTACGTGTTTTTTTTCTGTTAAAAACATGTTTCAGCAAAGTCTTGACAATGTTGATTAGTTGCTTTGAAGCATTGCAAACTTGTTGGTGGATAAGAAGATTAGAAAGTTAGATTTTAAAGTTTACACTTCTGGTTTCTTTTAAGTTAAAACAGGTATTTTTTTTTTTTTTTTTCAGAAAGAGCAGAAAAGAAATGTGCCTCTCTCTCATTAGTCAGTTCATCTAAACATGGTTCCATTGCAGGACCAAGTCATAAAACTGTCTTTCTGTCATCATAAAACACTTGTAGCTTTGCTCCTCTCTCAATCTTCCAGTCTTGCTCTGAGTCTTGTCTAAAGTCTCAACAGAAAGTCTTGAGTTTGGTTCTGACAATGAGCTCTCCCAAAATGCTCTAAGGAAAGAAGAAATGCTCTCAGTACTATGAACGGAACAGAATCATATTGAACAGAAAGAGGCTCTCCTGACCGACACCTCAGATGCAGGCTGCATCTGCAGATTCTTCAAACTTCATGGGATTTACCTTTCTAAAGTGACTGAACTTTTTTTTATTTAACAACTATTTTAAACCTTTTCATTTTTACTTCATTTGAGAAATACTCCAGAAACGTGTTCCTTTTGAAAGTCTTTTTCCTGCTAAGATGGTGCAACCAGACAGCTGAAACTGTCTCCAACTTGATTGGTAAGAACAGGCAGCATGTTCTCCTCCATCTGCAAAAACAACGTCCAACAAACTGAATGATTTGAACTTCTGGAAAACTGATGCCAGTCAGACCTATACATGAGCCCCGAGGTACCAAGATCTGACCACTGTTCCTGCAAGCAGCGAGGCCCTCAAGGTCTTCTATGTGTCCAGCCTGTGAACGTGTAATGTCCACTCTTCAGCTCCTCCTGCCTTGGTCAGTGACCACACACTTTAGTAGGAAGAACCTCCTGACGGTCGGATCTCCAGATCCTTGCAGAATCGTCATTATGGTTTGGTGTCCAAATTATTTAACATTTGTTCTGGGTTATTAATAGATAAAACTGTTATCCAAAAGCGTTTTTATTTTTGCTTTATCACTTTGAGTAAACCTTTAATCCTGATTTACTTTGAGTTAGTCAGTTTAAGTTGTCCTGATGCATCTCAGTAATCCAGGTAGAAAAAAAAAATCAAAAAGAAAAAAAAATAAGTAGGTCCTCTGGATGGGTTCTTCTTTAGTGAAATGTTTCGTTTCTCGTCCAAGAGACTTCTTCAGACTGATGGTCTCTTGGAGGAGAGACAAAACGTTTCACTAAAGAAGAACCCATCCAGAGGACCTACTTTTTTTTTTCTTTTTGATAGTCAGTTTAAGGTTTCACTCCTCTTCATCCACAGTAATATAAAACATAAACCCATATTTTAGACCTCACAATATTTCAACACTTACTCATATACCCACAAACCACTGGAACCATCATATTAATAATTGATTCCTTGGTTTGTAAATAGTTAGTATTTTTTTGTAATAAAACCACATAAACTACAAGTACTGTGTCTTAATTTCTATGTTTATGTTTCAGAGGGTCAAACTGTCTTATAAACCTATATACCAATGCATAATCTGAGCTAAGGCTAAATAAACTAGAGTTATTGGTAATCTAAACAGAATGCAGAGTACTAAATATTAATATTCTTATGTGTTGAAGGTGTTCTCATACACCAGGGAAAAAAAGTAAAAAAACAGCTCCTTATTTGTTTGTTTCTAGAGCATAAAGCAATAGTAGGCATGCACAAAATAGATGCAATAATCCTGTCAGTACCACAATGATGTAAATAATCTCAGCTGGAAAATATAATGTTAGGATAGCAGGGGAAGGATGCAGATATTGTGTGAAGGCATAAATAAAGAGTTTCCAGCTGTGCAGTTTAAGGTAGCTGATGTCGACAGAGGGAACTGTTTGTTTACAACCTCACAGTGTGAGAAGTTGTGTGATTCTCAGTTTGTGATGTTGTTTGAGCTACTGTGGTGATAGTAAATAGATGTATGTATTGCATGTTTGTTACACTTTTGTGAGCTTTTAGCCCTGATATATGAAATGTCATAAACATGGGAAGACAAGGACTCTACGTTTCAACAACATAAATTCAACCTGCTGTAAAAATATGCATGTAGAAGGGAACTCAAAGTGAGGTTTGGATCATTGCATGCCTTTTTGCAGTGCAAAACAGAGCAGGATATCACAAAAGGACAACCAGATTTAGTCTCCAATTGAGTCTATCTTGCAAACCAGAGACAAGCAAACTAACAAACATCACAGCTTGGAAAACTTTCTAACCCTGGCCATATAGTGTGATAAATTACCGTCTAGTGTTACTTACAGGCATAGTTTGTCCACCGTGCAAGCTGTTGATGGCGGCTTGTGCTTCTGCGTGGCTAGAGAACTTCACAAAGGCACACCCTGTACACAAAGACAAGARAAGCAAATCAGCAAATACATTTAGGAAAACGTTAATCTTTACATTTGATTGTACAGAATTGTGTCTGACTTGACTATTGGATAAAAAAAACTTAAATCAGGCTGAATATTATAAAGGGAATTTGAGCACCCTCTTCATGCCTCTTTCTAAATTAAATCTTTTTTTTTTACAATAAGATCTCAACTTTTTTGTGAAAATGATGCTGTTTATGTATTTGCACTCACAATGTGCAAGCAAAGCATGGTACTTTAATCTACTCTTCTAACCAATTTAGTGCTTGCATATAATTCTGAGTTATAGGGAACATGAGCAGAGTAATAATTTCTTATGTGGCAGTCAGATTCAGTTAAATTTGTTATGTTACTGCAAAAAAAATAAAATCTAAAGTCAGTATAGTATTGGCCACAAGGCAAGCGAGTGGGCTTCGGTTGAAATACTCTGGAGCAACTGTAAAGATGGCATTAAAAATTATTCACGTTTATAATGACGTGCAGTAAAAGACTGGATGCACACATATTGTGAGCACATGAATAAACAGTGTGTAAGTAAGGGCAGGCTCTAAACTAATATAGGACCATCGTAAAGTGAAATCTGGTGACTTGAATTGCAGTAAAACATGAAATCTGGTCATTTCCCACAAGCCATTAAATGAAACATGAGCTATTTCTCTGAACTTTATGGTTGTCACAGACTGCACACTGTATTCTGTTATGTCCTATTCTTATACTTGCCTTCAGGTAGCTCATGTGTTAAGAGATATCTCATTAACAAACTTGTAGATTAATTCTGCCACCTCCTCATTAATTGAATAGCACAAGTGATTTAGAATCAGATAAGCCTCTAGTGGATTTAGTCACCATTTTCTCATGAAACGCTCGTACCTTTTTGAAAATATTACCCATTTGCAAGAATTTAGTTGAGGCAACAAAAACATGTGTAGTCTTAAAACTCAGGAGATACTGTTTCACTGGCAGCAATCTGTCCTTCATCAGGAGCCATCTTTTTACGTTAAACAGTTACATTTCATGACAAAATTTAAATGACTGACTTGAAGGACTTTTATTCAAAGMTTTGTGTTTACATTCAAGTCAAACAATAAATGGTGGTTAGTTGTAAATGGCTGCATGTCAAATCCAAGTGAGTGGAAAAGGCCATGTGTTTTCTGCACCGTTAAATGCCCTCAGAGCTGTGGAGATCCACAGAGGCAAACAGACGAGTCAAAGGAGCCTTTGATTCTGTCACAGCGCTCCAGCACCCTTTTACTTCACTTGAACGCCCCTCCAGGGAAGAGGCAGGAAAGGTCTTTGTTTGTCCAAGTGAAATGCATCAGCCCACTGTGTACTGGTCTGACTGCATCTGGGTGTTTTCAAACAAACACGTTTAACCTTTGCAACACAGACTATAGGACAATTGGAATTAGCATTTAAATATATATATGTAAGGCAATTTGAAATTTTTACATTATTTGTTGTAACAATTCTTCTTGGCAATAAATCTTAAAGCAGGCACCTGATTGGCAGCACCTGGGGGTACCAGAAGTGCAAAACAAGTAGCAATAACAACAGCAAAATAGTCTGTTTGTCAATGGCAGAGAAAATATGATTTTTTTTTTCATGTACACAACCCACATTCTCAGCTCTACTGCGCATCCCATAAATGCATGTTGCTTACAAATGTGGCACCATTTAAAAGTTAACTTAACAGGCTTTTGAATGGTTTAAGATGTATTACCAAGTAGCATTGTTACAACAAGGTAAATAATCCACCAAACACAAATTTTCTTACATTTTGTGATAAGTTTATATAT